TTTTGAGATGGAGTTTCACTCTTGTTACCCAGGCTGGAGTGCAATGGTGCAATCTCGGCTCACCGCAACCTCTGCCTCCTGGGTTCAAGCAATTCTCCTGCCTCAGCCTCCTGAGTAGCTAGGATTACAGGCACGTGCCACCATGCCCAGCTAATTTTTTTTTTTTTTTTTCAGTAGAGACGGGGTTTCACTATGTTGACCAGGATGGTCTCGATCTCTTGACCTCATGATCCACCCGCCTCGGCCTCCCAAAGTGCTGGGATTACAGGCTTGAGCCACCGCGCCCGGCTATCACTTGTACTTTTAAACTAATTTATGAAAAGAAATTTTATAAGATCTATGAAATCATCAGTTGAAATACTTTAACATTAATTTTCTAGTACTCTTTATAATAAACATATAACTATCCAATATTTCTGCCTCAGCTTCTTGAGTAGCTCAGGTTACTGATGCCTGCCACCACGCCCAACTAATTTTTTGTTTTTTTTGTTTTTTTTTAAGTAGAGATGGGGTTTTGAGGCAGGTTGATCACTTGAGGTCTGGACTTAGAGATAACATATTTTTAAAAGCCCACTCTGTAGAATATGAAACTGGACTGAAAAACCATACAAATTAGGAACTACATTTTAGAAAAAAAGAGTTAAAATCTAAGAAAGATGAGAGGGGAGGATTTTAGGGGGAAGTTAGCAGATAATTTTAAGTATGTTGATACTTCATTATCCTACTTAAGTAGGATAATTTAAAGTATGTCAGTAGTTGGAAGAAAAGCAGTGAGCAAGGACAGCTAATAGAGCAAGTTTTCAATTAACTGGGCTTACAGTAGCACAAATAAAGTGTTAGTATTGGAAAATAATACAAAAGGCTTTCTGAGTTGAGAAGGAAAGAAAATGTATGAAGACAGAGAAACTTCACAGTGGAGATACATTATATCAACTGGGAAGAACATAACTTTTCTTTTTTGGGGGAAGCCTTGCTCTGTTGCCCAGGTTAGAGTGCAGGGGCATCATCTTGGCTCACTGCAACCTCTGCCTCCCAGGTTCAAGTGATTCCCTTGCCTCAGCCTCCTGAATAGCTGGGATTATAGGCATACGCCACCATACTGGCTAATTTTTGTAATTTTTGGTAGAGATGGGGTTTCGCCATGTTGGCTAGGCTGGTCTCGAACTCCTGACCTCAGGTGATCTGCCCCTCTCAGTCTCCCAAAAGTGCTAGGATTACAGGCATGAGCCACCATGCCCAGCCACAGACTATCAAATATAACATGTAAAACCATTTATATCAAAATTCATTTATAGGGAACTTAATTGTCTCAGAGCTAATTTGCTTGGTAAATTTTCCTAGTCATCTGTAGCACCTCTGTTAATTGTTCAAGACCAGTATCAGGAGGTTTATTAGAATCACTGGCGCTATCTTACCGTGCCTTCTGTGATTTCCAGGTTTTCTTGAGTGCATGAGTGGCAAACACTTCTTCCCAGTAGAACTCTCTAACAGCCATAGAAATTTATGCAAGTTATTGGTGTAGGCTACATTTAAACAGATCAGGTCAATGAAGATCTAGCTTTACTTAGAAGACTTCTTTAAATAGCAAGACCTCTAGTAAAGGCATTAATTTATTTGCAGTTAAAAATGTATTTGTCTTAATCTATATTCATATGCCTTGCTCTGAGCCTTTGTACATTCTCTTCCTTTCCCATTAACTGGCTTTTACTCATTTTTTTTTCAGTCTATGGTAAGCTTCAAAGTTACCAGCTGAAGTCTCCTATTATTTTCTTCATGGCACTTACTACAAAATAATTTTTAATGTAATTCTTTTAATGCATACATTGCCGGACAGATTGAAAGCTTCAAAAGGGAGGAGAGAGGCCACACATGTTGGGTTCTCTGTAATAGAGCACCCAAATAATATAGTGTTTGGCCTATAGTAAGAGTCCAAGAAATATCAATGACATCATTTAAGATCTTGTTGTTAAAAGAATACAATCTCTTGGTAAGACATAATGAGAATCTTCGCATATACATCCTTACCTAAACTCCAGAAGCACTATAGCCTTCAACTCACAGATCAATGTACCATTTCTCATACAGATTCTAATAACTGGATCTTGCCCTTAAAAGGAAACAGTGATAGGGAAGAATTTGAACTGGCTGATCACAAATCTCTAAATTACTGCACCTCTGCATTTCCATTACCTACATCCCCTTCTCCAATGTGCAAGAGATAAATGGGGGAGATGAGATGCGGGAAACAAGTGAAAGAGAAATTATCCTCTGAAAGGAGGATTACTGGAGAGCACTGTTATACTTGCCAGCATACAAAAATGGAGATTTGGAATGCTACTCACCAACAAGCAATTGAAAAGTGTTTTAACAATTCAGCATTACAGGAAATAACTTTAGAAGCATGTAAAGAGTGACCAAAATGTACTGTTTTAAGGATAATTCCAAAGACAAGGAAGATATTAAGGAGAATAACTGCTGTGGCAATTTTAGGACTGAGCCCTTGTACCTTTTACAGCAGTGCAGGGAAGAGGCAGGAGGAGGAAAATTCGACAGAGGTGCATAATAAAGGAAAATATGCTCATATCCACTAATAAATACTGCATGCTGACAAGAGTACATTACCAAAATTGAGAGAAGAGTAATCAGTTGGTAATCAAAGTGGTGAAAAGAGGAACCACTAGATCAATGCCTGAGACTGCCACAATGAAGGCAGGAAAGAGAAAGAAGGGCACAAAGCTGCCTCTATCAGCTGTATCCATAAGACAGAGATAAAAGGTGGCCAGATGCTAGGAAAGCTCAAGGTGTACCAGACAACATTTTGATAGTAGGGAATAAAATAGCACAGAGAAGCAGGTTACCAGAGGGCAGGACACACGGTACCAGCAGGGAGAAGGTACAAGCCTTGAGGGCAGTACACACTGGAAGCATTCACAACTGACTGATGCTGATCGCTGGCTTCACTTCTTTTAACTGATTCTTCTCCCTCACTACATTAATCTTCCTAGCATTTTTCAAAAGCCCTATCTGAATTTAGTTTTGTTTTTTTTTTTTTCACATTTGTACTGCAATGTGTATTTAATATCACCTAGGAGAGATTCAAATTTATCAATCTGCTGCACTGCTAAAAGTCAGCTGAGTGGCCTGGCTAACATGGCGAAATCCCATCTCTACTAAAAATACGAAAAATAGCCAGGCATAGTGGTATGCGCCTGTGGGCCCAGCCATTTCGGAGGCTGAGGCAGAAGTGCTTGAACCGAGGAGGAGGTTGCAGAGAGACGAGCTCACACCATTGCACTCCAGCCTGGGAAACAAGAGTGAAACTCTTTCTCAAAAAAAAAAAAAAAAAAAAAAAAAAAAAAAGGCCTGGCGCGGTGGCTCAAGCCTGTAATCCCAGCACTTTGGGAGGCCGAGGTGGGTGGTTCACAAGGTCAAGAGATCGAGACCATCCTGGTCAACATGGTGAAAGCCCATCTCTACTAAAAACACAAAAATTAGCTGGGCATGGTAGTGCGTGCCTGTAATCCCAGCTACTCAGGAGGCCGAGGCAGGAGAATTGCCTGAACCCAGGAGGCGGAGGTTGCGGTGAGCCGAGATCACGCCATTGCACTCCAGCCTGGGTAACAAGAGCGAAACTGCGTCTCAAAAAAAAAAAGAAAAAAGAAAAAAAAAAAGGCTCAGTGAGGATACTATAGTAGACCATCTCCTTTTTCTCCTTTCTGAATGAGGGACTTGAGCCTGCTAACAGGTACAAAGTTCTCTCCAGAGTCTAGTCCTTCTATAAGCCCAAGGCCTGCTACTTGAGGTTATCTTCCTTGAAGTTGTGACCTTTCTATCTCAAATGCTCTTGTTTTGGCTTTTAAAAAATCTTAAGGTTGGCAACTTGGGTTTAATTACCTAAGTCCAGTTCGGTGGTTTTCAAACTGTGTTCCAAGGAGATGCCTCTAGCATAGAGGTAAAGTGGAGTAGTGAGGCCTGGCCATTCTGAACTTAGTTCCAGCAGAGCATGCTGCTTTACACATTGGGGGTCAGGTAAAAATTCATGGGAAGAAACTGTTCCACTCCTTTAAAACGTTTGAAAATCACAAGACTGGATAATAGTTTTAAAGTCTGGATACTGGTTTGTATAGAGTCAATACTTACTGCAAAACATATTTCATTCAAATCACTCAGTTTAAGAGTGGGTCTTCAAATCGACAAAAAGTGTATTTTTTAATGTCTCCTTTCCCCATCCCCATTTTACTGATGCTAAAATAGGAGTTTCGGAGTCAACTGAGCCAAGCATGGTGGCTGAGGCCTATACTTCCAGCGCTTTAGGAGGTCAAGGCAGGAGAATCGCTTGAGCCCAGAAATTCGAACTTACAGTGAGCTATTACAACGCCACTGCATTCCAGCCACGACGACAGAGCAAGCCTGTCTCTTAAAAAAAAAAAAAAAAAAAAAAAGTCACCACCTTATTTAATTTAGCCTTTGAGAACACTGGGGGATTAACAAAAAATTACGTATATCCAGGTACTGGTATGTTTTTCATCATCACATGACAATCAAATTGGGCATGACCAAAACTAGCAGTGTGCGGACTGGCACACGTTGAGAGGTTAAGATTGACAGGTGGAAGCAAAAGGTGTGCTGACACCAAAGTGAGCGCTTGCCTCTTACAGAATCCCAGACTCAGCAGCACATTTCCTAACGGCAAGGGCTTCTCTGTCTGGAAGAGGCCTCCACTTCATTCTCATAAGCCAAATATGATCCCGGCTTTGGGTAAACCTTCAAGTCCCGGCTCTCAGTGGATAAGCAGGCTTCCTTTAGGCAAGTAGATTAGGGGTCGCCCCTTCCTCGTTTTGGGGTAAGGGCAAACAAGACGGTAGGCTTGGGCGTTGTGACAACGGCGACAGGGACGCTGGGAAAAGGGGTAGAATCCACGCCGTTCTGCGGCCCCCGGGCCTGTCAGCGCCTCACCCGCCCACCCACCGGCCCGCCCGCATTCTTCGGTCTAAACTTACCAGGTGGAAGCTATAACTCTAGGCAGGAAGTAACTAACTGGGTTGGGTCCGGTCGAGTTCCGCTGAGCTTCTTAGAGCCGCTGCTGGGAAGAGGCTGAAACCCAGTGGCTGCAGCAGTCGCCACCGCCTCTGTTACTGGGGGGTCTCGCCTCCATCGCTGGCTGCGGAGTCTGAGGGCACGTGACCGGAAATACCAAGGCGGGCCCTTGGGCGCGTGACTCAAGAGCGCGGCCGCCATGACACCTTCCGCTACTTCCCTCCCTCCCCAACGGGTTCCCGCCTGTTTCGTTTCCTCTCTCCGGTCTCAAGCGGTGAAGGGTCCTGGGATCCTGGTTGACCCAACCATTTGGCCTAGAGCTCCTCCGGTTCCAGTCGGTGCCGTGTCTTCAGCCGGTAACGGCCCTCCGGGTGCAGGCCGTAGACAGCGTAATCTCGACCGCAGCCTGAGGGGGAGGAACCACGCACAAGGAGGGGCGTGACTCGTCACGTGACAAGGAAGTGCTGTTAGTAGTGTTGTCCCCAGGTCCGCGGCTCTCCTGGATGACGTCAGCAAGGAAGGGGCGGAACGGGAGGAGAGACTGGAGACTGAAGTTCGCGTTCCGCCCTTAGTGCACGGTGAGTTCTCCTGTGCTAAGCCGGGAGACAAGATCCACTGAGACCTGCGAGGTACTGGCCTGGATGTGGTGGAGCTGGGACCTCCGGGCTGCTAGTCTGTGAGCCTGGCTTTGAAAATTGGTTACTGGGTCTCCTCTCGAGATCTCAAGGTACTAAGGTTACTGCTGTTAAAAAGGTAGTAGTTCCACTAGGCAAGGAGCTTTTTGTGGCCAGGGATTGTGTTTTGTTCATCTATGTCTCCAGCGGTGTGTTCAGTGCCTGGAACATAGTAGGCACTCAGAATGTTGAATGAATGTGTGAATGAGTCAGTCGTCATTTGTCTGTCTGGGGCGGAGAGTTGTTTTCTGATCATTTCTTCTTGGATAGAAAGATCACTTTGTGAAAATGAGGGAATCTGCAACTTCCCCTTCCCATTTCTTCTATTTTTGCTCTCTTTCTTATTTCTTTCTCCTCTTCTTTCTTCCACGCACCTGCTGGGACAAAATAACCTATTTGCATTTGATGTGTGACCAACAAACACTACTATTTTACGGTAATGGAAAGACGATGCGATTTGGATTCAGAAGATATGTAGTCTTATCTCAGCTCTACCATTTATGAGCTCTCACAGAAGTTGTTTCATTTATGTTGGTTAAGCATTTGTCGCCAACTTCTATGTTCTTAGTTTTTGGTAGAGTGACCTCACAGAAGTAACATTTAAACTCAGCTTTGCAGAAAGATAGGGTTTTGGTAAATGGGGGAAGAGTCCATAAACAGCATATATTAAACCATGGAGGCACAGCAAATTTATAGAATGAAAGAGAAAAAAAAGAGTTGAGTCCAATGTAGTTGGAGAATAGGAGAGAAGTTAAGATGGGAAATGAGGCTGGAAAAAGAAGTAGGGACGAGATAACAGATTATAAAGAAGTGGAGCTATTGAAGGTTTGTACAGTTTTCAGTATATACCTTTAAAACTTCATTATGGAAAATTACAAATGTAGACAAAAAGTAGGATAGTAAAATGACCCCTCAGGTACACTTAACCCAACTTGAACAATTATCAGCATTCTGCTGTTCCTGTTAATACTGAGTTTGTACATTTCTAGGTACTTTTTATATCCATTGTTGCATTTGATTAATAGCAGCTTTCAATTTGCTTAGCTACTGGCTAAGAAGATTTTATTTATGTAAACAATTTCTTTGGGTTTTAGTTGACTACTTGCTCTGTTGAATCAATAGTGTGCCATGGCCACTTAAACACAAATAATACTCTTTTAGGCTGTAATATAGAAACTTAGTGTCTAGATCCAGAAGTTAGTCTTTCTACTCTATTCTGGGCTTATTCAACTACTTAAGGAGTATTATGCTTAGTTTGAGGGACCTCACTTGTAGGCAAACTAAAGTGCCTCTCTAGAAGGTTGAAACAGAGACAGGGTTGGAAAATGTCATGTCAGGAGTGATGGTGGAACTGGGAATGTTAAATTTTTAGAAGACCTAATAATGCTTTTCAAATACCGAAGGACTGCTTTGGAAAGAGACAGCTTGTTCCCTTCAACTGTAGAAGCTACATACAATTAGGAATAATGGTAGAACTCTAAGTGATCAGGCTTCAGCACAGTATTAACAAGAACCTTGTAACAGTAGTGAGCCCTGTGGAGGAGTAGAATTGGCAGCTTCATGACAGTGTGTTTTCTTTCTATTGCTGAAAATGTTCAGGGCTCTAGGGCAAAACTAATTTTTGAATTAGGTGGACATGTTCACTGAATTACCGATGAGTCTTTTTCTAGCTTGAGAATTCTAGGAAGCAGGGCTCCTGTGGGATCTTGAAAGCTGGATATGTTTGGATAAGAAGACCTGGAAGGGAAGCAGTCATTTCAGGGAGAGTAAACATAAATGTATAAAGTTCGTGTTGGTTTAGCACTGTCATCCAGCAGCTTCTCTGAGAATTGGCATTGCTTATGCTGTTTTTATTTATCTCTGTTAAATTGTTTTTTTTTTTTTTTTTAAAGTAGAACTTAACTAGGTGTGTCCCCCTCACCACCGTTGTATAATAACTTTCAGGACTTTCTCTTTTCATAGAGATTAACGAAAAATGACCTATCTACTTCGGAGTTTCTTTGTTTCAAGATCACAAGTAGAAGAGACACTACAATATTATCATTCCTTTCCATCCCTCTTGGATCCTATACCATGGTTTTATCTTTTTCTTGAATCGTCAGTCCCTTTCATTCTAGACTCTACTTTTAGCTACTAGCTACAAATCGGTTTAAGAGTCTCCCCATTGATGAAGTTAAGAGAGGTTTTCTCCTTTTCCACCAGACTTGTGAATAATTGAAATGTTTTATTCTTATTTTCATACCACCCACCCCTTTCTCAAGTCTTTGTTTTCCAGTGTCCAACCACCCACAGTACAGAAATTATGTTACCTCCCGACACCAAATTCTTTAATTCCTTTCTGTTCCCTGCCAAATTAAGTTCAGATTCTTTGGTTTGAAAAATTCAAAGTATTTTGTAACTTGGACCCATATTATGATTACAGTTTTTTCTTTCATTATTCCACTGCTTGTATCCTATGTTTCAACCAAAGACTAAACTTGTGTTCTTCTAGTATATTCTGCATTTTTTCTTCTTTGTATATTTGCTTATTGCTGCCCTACCTGCTACCCTTTGTGTTTTCCTTGAGATAAAAGCCTAGTCTGCTGCGCCCAGTGGCTCACGCCTGTAATCCCCACACTTCGGGAGGCTGAGGTGGGTGGATCAGGAGGTCAGGAGTTCAAGACCATTCTGGCCAAGATGGTGAAGCCCCATTTCTACTAAAAATAGGAAAAATTACTCAGGCATAGTGGCATGCACCTGTAATCCCAGCTACTTGGGAGGCTGAGGCAGGAGAATCACTTGAACCTGGGGAGTGGAGGTTGTAGTGAGCTGAGATCATACCATTGCACTGCAGCCTGAGTGACAAAATGAGACTCCATCTAAAAAAAAAAAAAAAAAAAAAAAGCCTAGTCGGCATCAGTACTACTTTTTTTTTTTTTTTTTTTTTTTTTTTTGAGACGGAGTTTCGCTCTTGTTGCCCAGGCTGGAGTGCAATGGCGGGATCTCGGCTCACCGCAACCTCCGCCTCCTGGGTTCAGGCAATTCTCCTGCCTCAGCCTCCCGAGTAGCTGGGATGACAGGCACACGCCACCATGCCCAGCTAATTTTCAGTATTTTTAGTAGAGACGGGGTTTTACCATGTTGACCAGGATGGTCTCAATCTCTTGACCTGGTGATCCACCCGCCTCGGCCTCCCAAAGTGCTGGGATTACAGGCTTGAGCCACCGCGCCCGGCCATCAGTACTACTTTTTTTAGGAAGTTTTCTGCTAGGTTGGAGAGAGGTCTAGTGGCTTATTCCTATTAAGCACTATTAAATTGTTAGCTGATAAATGTAGGGTTTGCTGATATGTTAATAAGTTAAGGCCTTTACAGAAGATTGCATTTTAACGAGAGACTCCTAAAGACAGAAGATTTACTACTCATAGAAATGCAGCAGCAGGGTTGCTGTTTTGCCTCAGAGGACATAGGCCAATTTTTCTAAATCCTACTCTGCCCATTCTGCCTACTCACACTGTTAGATAACACTGGAGGATAGGATTATGGAGGGCCTTGAGAATTCCTGTCTGACACTGTGGGAGTTTGAGTCAGGAAATGACACAATGTAAACATGCTGTGGTATAGAATGTTACCTGTGTGTGTTTTCTTTCTAAGCACCTGTATAGTGGGGACTTTCTCATGTTTCCTATGTTCCCCAGATATTTGTTAAATGCACTGTTAAATGAATGGTGGGCTTCTTAAATTATATTTTTGTGGATTTTATTCAGGTGAGGAATACTGTACCTATCATTCAACAAGTTTCAGCTTTCTGGCTAAATGACTTTTGTGCCAGTGATACCAGAGTCCTACAGCCATGTTCTCGCAGAGTTTGAGTCTCTGGATCCGTTACTCTCAGCCCTGCGGCTGGACTCCAGTCGTCTAAAGGTGAATTTCTTGATCCTTGTATCAATTTCATTTTCATGTGCTCTCTGTTACATGTGCCCCTACCCTCTAGTTCAGGCGTCCCCAAACTTTTTACACAGGGGGCCAGTTCATTGTCCCTCAGACCGTTGGAGGGCCACCACGTACTGTGCTTCTCTCACTGACCACCAATGAAAGAGGTGCCCCTTCCTGAAGTGCAGCGGGGGCCGGATAAATGGCCTCAGGGGGCCACATGCGGCCCCCTGAGGCCATAGTTTGGGGACGCCTGCTCTAGTTCCTTATGTTTTGTGGAATATTGGGTGTTCTTACCTGTCCTAGTCATACTTCTGTGGGGAAAAAAAAGAAGAAAATAAACTTCTTGTCTGAGGAATGTGAGCCCCTTTAAATCATCAGGCCCAAGATGGGCATGGGGCTCATGCCTGTAATCCCAGCACTTTGGGAGGCCAAGGTGGGCA